ACGCTACTAGGGGCTCCTGGCCCTACTACTAGGAGCAAGCAGCTACTTGGGGCTCCTTGCCTCGCTACCAGGGGCTCCTGGCCCTACTACTAGGAGCAAGCAGCTACAGTACTTGGGGTTCCTAAGGCTTTGGTGTTCATTGGACCTGAGGACAGGCCGTGGAGCTCTGGGCACACAGTAGAAAAGAGCACGAGGCCGCGCCATGTGCTTGCCCGGGTTCGGGCGCTTGCAATTGGCATATCAACGGAAGTTGCTGATCCAGGATGCCCAGTACAGAGGATGGTTCAACTAGCACTGGCGGCTTGAGTTCATCGTTTTTTTCGCACCCTCCTTGTCAAACTGGGAAAGACGGACATCAACGAGTACACCAAAAGGCTAGAATGCATCGCTGGCTTGTGGCCTCAAGAACACCTTTCGTATCCGGCAGGAAGATAAGGACACGGAATGAAGCCCTCTTTAACTCAACTGATGACATCGAATCCACTTGCTCAAATGACCACAAAATGTGCAGCTTCAGGCATCTTTCACATGAGTAGTGGTCATATTTATCACAACAACGTCATGATCAACTCTAAGTGTTTTGTCCAATCAATCATCAAAGCACCAGGACTGGCACCTAGCGTGACATCCTCACTCCAACAGCAGGCTCAACAAGTTTACGAAAATCGGTCATCCTTCACCTACTTCTAGGAGCCACTGACCAATACTACACACGGCATTGCAGGAGCGGCTATAGTGTCTACGTTTGTGAGCTGTGTTTGGCATAATTCACCTTGAACAGACTGATTGCCAATCCATCCGTCAGAACTAATCATGACCTGCGTAAAATCCAGAGTGGAGGACGCTAAGTTGGGAGTTAGCCCCACATAAATGTTGAGACTATTTCAAAGTCCAGCTGCTCTTTGTGGAAAACTGGACGAACCCCGACGTCCTCAGCGAATCAACCCTAGACTTCCAATAAGCTTGTCAGGTCCTTAATTAATCCAAAACCCAATCAACCAGCGAATACTTTACAAGATTTGGACAGGCACCTACACAGCACAACCGTATTGTTCCACATTGCCGTCAGCCGTCCCAGCGGCTTCCCAAGTCTACCCTGTGCACAGGAACCCTCTGCACGCAACATCATGCATGCCTCGATTGTTGCCTCTTATTCATGATCACATTCAACGAGGACTTTGGTTGGCCCACGTTCTCGAGGATAGGCAACAGCGGCAACAAAGCAAGAGAGTGTTACCAGGATGGTATTTCGAGGCCGTTTGTGCAACTGTCTTAGTCAACTTAAGGGGACTTGCTGACACTCCTCGTTCCACTCACTCTTGGAATGACTTTCTGCAGTTCGCGCAAGTGCACAAGGTGATGTAATTACTTAAGCAAAGCCCCCAACCTACTAGCGATGGCCTCGCCCTAAGAGCGATGGCCTCCAACCTAATAGCGATGATGTAATTACTTCAGCTTGTCAAATGAACTTGACTTGGCTCAGCCGCGAAACTCCAAAGTCGCAGGTGGGAATCACCTTGCCATTCACTGTCTTATTGCCACTGATTCCTTCGCTGGATTGGAATTGAAGAATTGGTTTGATTGGCGTTTCAGACTCTCTGTTTGAAAGTCAAGGTTTCAAAGGTCTGCCCACAAACAAGAAATGCATAATTTGAGAGCTGCCATTGGCTGTATGTACTATTCTGTGGCTACTTCTGCTCCAGATCCAGCAACATGCCACCACATTTTTTACTAGCAGTCCGTTGGCACAGCCAAGAGAAAGAGCGAAGATCATATTACCCGGTTTCCTCAGCTGCAAATTCATTGAACCGTGGTGCGAACCCCAGTGAATCTAACTTCTATGCGGGCATTTGAAGCTAAGTGTCTGCAAGGTGATCCGAAATTGTGTTTCCTTTCGATCGAAAGGGTAACAGGACATGTCGAACATGGGGCTGGCTGCTTGGGCAAATTCTCCAATGTAGACGGTGCTGGTGCTGGCTGATTCTCTCCGCGTCACGGGGTCATTGACTGAGATCGTCCCCATGTGCCGCTTGGTCCCATCACCAAAATTCTCCACATCGATGATGGCATGCGGTTCTGAGACAAACTCATAGCCAACCATATCATACACCTGAAACCAGACTGCACTTAGATATGTGAGGATGCCCACCAGGGCCTCCTTGACACTCTGCACATCTGCACATTTATTCCTTAAGCCATAAGCTGAGTCACGGAGATGACAGTGAGTCTACCCTCGATGATCTTCCTTCGGTCGCTGAATCCAAGAAAAATGTCCCAAGACGGAAGCACAATCAGTTTGATACCTCAGCAAACGCACAAAGAAATCATGTGTTCTTTTCTTGGCCGCTCTCCCGCCAGTTCGCTACTACATGCTGGACGCAGGATAGCTCACGCTTCTTCAAGGAAGCTCCCCCCGCCTGAGGGCGCCGAGGAGCTTCCTTGAAGAAGCGCTCGCACTAATGATTTGGTTCCTAGATGTTGAGGAAAACTTGACATTCGATGAGTAGGCTGCTTGAACGCCGGAAAACAGGGTAGGAAGAAGCTACAGTTCAATTGGGAGAAATCTTTCCTGGGTTTTAGGGGAAACCTAAAGCTACAGCTTATTCTTCTTACTTTTCTGATTCTGACAAAGTGCTTTCATTGAGACCATTCTTGATCTCAAGGCCAGAGGGTAGAGCTCTCTCTTCTTCCTCCTCCTCTTCCTCGCAAAGAGAAAAAAAAAAATGTGATGAAACCACTCAGTCAAAACCTTTTTACTGGATTCAAAAGTCTCAGCCAAAGTCGTAGAGTCTACGTGGAAGACTTTCCAGAATTTCCAGCAGCTGCTTTGTCCCCGCCTGAAGTCGCCTCAAGTTCTGCGTCTTCGCTTGCGAAGGAGAAGCCACTGCCTTTTGCTGGAAAACCAGAAAGAATGTCGATAAGGAATTGGTAGCATCCGTTTGAAACAGAAACAAATCACCAAAGGGTCCTCTTGTTCCGCAGTTGCAAGGTCTGCAAAACACCTCGGCAAGAATAAAAGAATGAGGAGCGCGTGAATCGGTGACTTCGCAAATGACTTGGCACCCACTCTGGATAAGTACCAGGCTGCAACAGCGGCAGCACGAAGAGGGTGCACCTCATCTCCGACTCAGCCAGGCCCCTTCTCTGACTCCATCTCTTCTTTGAGCCGAAAAGCTAGGAACAAGAAGCTACTAGGGGCTCCTGGCCTTACTACTAGGAGCAAGGACGCTACTGGGAGCAAAGGGCATCGCTACTAGAAACAAGAAGCTACTAGGGGCTCCTGGCCTTACTACTAGGAGCAAGGACGCTACTGGGAGCAAAGGGCATCGCTACTAGGAACAAGAAGCTACTAGGGGCTCCTGGCCTTACTTGCTCAGAATGATCAGCACCGACATTCACTGCAAGCCTGTGACTATCTGATGCAAAATGCTACGTTCCTTTGTTTTTGCCAGGGGGGAGGCCGGTTTAGGAAGAGGTAAGCTATATACCGGACGCTCCTAGGGACGCAGGATAGCTCATGCACTATTAACTTGGTTCCTAGATTTTGCATAGTGAAGAGAGAAGATCAAGAAAGTCAAAGTTTCGGACAGGCACCAAGCCACTAAACCATATACAGTCTTTGCCCAAGACATGCTCTGGTACTGGCTCACATTATCAGATCCTTTCCGGTCTTTATATACTCAAAGTCCAAAAAAGGGAAGGGTCCTCCCCTCACACGCCTGCGAAGGCTGATCCCAAAGGGTCCCACAGTAGCCAGACCTGATGCTCTTGGGTGGAACATGTGGCATTCAGCCAAACAAACAAAGCAGCTCAAATAGTATATAATACATCGTGATATGATTGATATCTGCAGTCCCTGTGTGTCCGACGCAGGCCAGCAGCCCCAAGGCCAGCGCTGATAGGGCTGCCATCTGTGACAACAAGGAGTTAGCAAAGAAAGTGTTGGAAATTGGAAAGTATCTTAATTCACAAATGCCACAGCGCGGGAGACGGCCTTGGCAAACAAGTTTGCCCTCTACTGGCAAAAGCAAACAGAGCCGAAAGAATAGAGCATGACACGACATGAGCAAAAGTTGGAATTGTGAGAAATGCCAGTAGCTGACTATTTGGAAGACTGGCAGCAACCACCAAGACCTATTACAAGGCTTCTCTCATCGAGCCACAGGGGGGTTTTCTACTACTCCTATTATATAATATAGTCCAAAATGGCGGTTTTCTTGGCACAATGATTGAAGTACAATTGAAAATGTCAATTGTGTGGTGCTTCCCGGCGGCACACTTTTTGAGGCTCTTGCAGCGCCCTAGTGACGAGGAGTAGCAACAAGCATGGAACAAGGAATCAAGAACCAGCGCAGTTTGCCATGCTGGTCTCGGATGGACCGCTCAGCCGGACGGCCACCGTTTGCCAGTTTGGCAATTTTTGCGAAATCCTGCTTCCTCATCAACTCATCTCTCCTCACGCTTGGACAATCTGCCTGCGTCAGGCATGTCCAAGCCGGCATAACATGCATTCTGCATCATGACCCCTTTGCAAAATTCAAACCAGCAAAGTGCAAGGCAACCAGTGCCTTTTGGTACTTTTGATCTTGGTGTGGTGCTGGTGACTATTCTAATTGAGTATATATATTAAAAAGCAAAAAGAATGTGGGGTCAGCTGCGAGTGTGACCAGCGCGTTGTGGCACCAACCCAGGCATTGACTCCACAACTGGTATGATGCGTCTTTCGCTTCGACATGAAGGACATAAGATATGCTCCTTGTGATTCGTTGTGTATGGCTTTTCAAGGACGTCAACATTGTCAACTGGGTGGGGTTGCTCCACTGCGACTTGTCGTGAGCATCAGCTCCAAAAAGCCTTGCTAGGAACGTCAGAAAAGTTTTGTAAAACGTCGGCCCCTGACGGATGAAAGCATGTGCGTTAAGATGTGATACGTAAAAATGGCGATGATCTGAGACGTCCATAGCTTGCTTTGCCACGCTTATCTTCAGCTTGCGAATAACCTGTACACACCTCTGTATCTGGCTGCAAGCTGTTCTGGGACCACCTTGCGGATTCTGTCCGATGGCTCCCACCAACTCCACCACTGGCAAAATCAAGGATGCCAAAGAGAAATTGCACTTCAGAGATTCAACGTGATTCAACATCCAGAATCAAGGATAAGAAGGAGTTATTTCGTGTTTCTCCCTCCACAAAAAAGAAAAAACAAACAAACTAGCTTGACCGGTAATTTCTATTTCAATGTTGATTGTTAGATCCAACTTAGGACTAGAAATAGCTGCCACTTGTTTGGAGGTTCGACCTCCTGCAGAACCTCTTGCGAGAGACATGCAGGTGAAACAACAACCTGGTGCATCAACGGTCCACGAACTGGGTGACCAGCCTTGGTGGAGCAGTTCCAAAATGATCTAACACGCTCAGTTTGTCACGTAATTCCACAAGTATATAAGCAAGGTATCTCTTTGTGATGATGTTCAGCCTTCCAAAGAGCACCTTCATACTGGAGTTCAAGTGAAAGTACTGTAATACTGTACTACCCCTTCCACACTCACAGCAATGGTAACGTCCATCCTCCTCTGAGCGAGCGAGCAACAGAAGGCTGAAAAGTCCTCCGAGATGAAAACGCTAAGTAACAAAGTCAGAGAATGAACGAGGATACTTGCATCTTTAATCCCAAAGCAATTCATCACGTTCAGCCTGCCAGCAGCACTGGTTGTACAGCGAGGCAGCCTTGCAATTGAGTTCATCTTGTGATCAAGGAGCCCGCGAAGAGATTTTCTTCAGCCGGACAGCACAACAAATGTTGAAGGCAAAGCTTGTTTGTAGTGAATAGTTGTGCTCAAAGCTTGCTATACTAGAGTTGCTCAGCTTCACCCAAGCCACGTTGCAAAATGGGCGAGCCTGCATTGGAAGTGATCCCTGGCGGCTCCAACGGCTCCATATGGTCCTCAATCTTCGAATCTACCTCGGCAATACAACGAAGCCTCCAAATTAGACTTTAGGACCTTAGGACGCTTCTCCTCCTGCAAGTCACAGGAAGGAGATACAAGATACACGTGTGGATGAAAGGATGAAACCATTTCGCCAGCAGGATTCTAGCTTCATGACGGCAAACGTCTTGAATGTCATTTTTCTTGCTGCAGCAGACGTCATCACCGTCCAGACATTTGCAGGCACACTTCAGGAAGACGGAAGACATGTAGGACTATGATGCCCCCACGACGTGCTGATAGAGCTCTTTGTGCCATCATCAGATGCCATAACTTCGTCGCCAACATTATCCAGCTTGCCCGAAGACTTCACTCTGCATCACGTTTTCGCAGTGCGAATGCACAACATTCAAGCTGTAGCTGTCCGCCTCGAAACTGCTTTGCATCTAATCATCCAATCTACACCGCCGGGGAAGAGGATGGCACAATTTTTTCAATGACCAGTGGTTAACGGCCTAAAGGTAGATTGCGCCAGGTGTGCTCCACCTGAACGCCAAAATAACCTATTGATGGCGCAATTCAGCCTTTTCTGGCCGCAAATGTAGCGAGAGCGGCTTGCAAGAAACGCTGCCAAAAAAGGGTTATAGAAGGCGCAAAGCCATACATACATGTCAGAATTGGGCCAGGAATACAGTATCCTGAAAGTCAAGAATGGCAAAGAACCTTTTCTTCTCAAGCCACGGGAAACAGTGAATGTATACAGTATATACAGCAAGATATTGCAAAACTCTGCAAAGTGAGGAAGCTGCTGGCGCAAATGCAACTGCCATGTGCCCCATTGCGCCATCTGCAAAATATGCCACTTTGACATCGCTAAGCGTACTGGTGAACGCCCTAAAAACATCTCTTTTTAAGCACATAGATGGCGCAATCGGAGGCAGTGTGGTAAAATAAAGGTGGCTCAAAAAGAAAAATTTCGCCATCTACTCCCACCCCGGAGTAAGCTCAAAGATTGGAGCCCCTTCAGTCGAAGGGCTCCCATGGCACTTAGTTCACTATCCTCGTAATAGGTTGCTAATGGCATCTCGGAAAACTGTAGTTTACAGCTAGCTTCTATTCTCGAAAAATAATCCAAACTGAAGTCCAAAAAGGGCAAGAAGTTGGAGGAGCAAAATCAGCAGTCCAACACGGACAAGAAAAAAGAGGGGATGTCTCAGTCTCAGGCCCAAAGAAAAGCAAAGAGGGAGCATGGGGGGATTGGCAAAGTCACGGGGATTGCGGGAACTCAAGGTTGCCCTAGAGTGTATGTGTAATGGCATGAGGCTTGCAACGCTGAGAAGCGAACTGGGTATGTGAAGAACCACTCATCGACGGTCGTCTCCTTCTTTGTCACCTGGCAATCTGTGGCAGCCACAGTCATGCCTACTTTCCAGCTTTGGATCTTGAGGCTGACTGACAAACACATGTTTTCATGCAAATTTGTAAATTTAAAAAAAAAAAAAACTCCTATATAAATGTATAGCCTGTTGCTTCATGAAAAAGCAACCTGAAATTCACCAGTACAGAACTAGTGTCGTTGGAGAAGCTGGATCCGCAGTGCCTCTCGGAAAACGATCTCAGGTTCCTGGTCGCTCCAAACAGCCATGTTCGGGCAATGGCCAAGAGCAGCTCCACAAAAGCTGGAAACAAATCAAAGGGACTTGGGGAAGAAGTTCCTGCTACTCCCGCACCAAGAAGCAATTACACGCCGCGTTCTGTCAGGAAAAGGAAAATAGATGCTACACATCACATAGCCTTGGATGACAGCACATGCCGACCTATGTTTCTAGGGCCTCTGTCAAGATTCAACATTTAGATTATTCGAGCATGCCTCCAAGTCAACATACTTCGGCTGCCCTTCAAAAAAGCTTCCAGTTCGGCACGGAAGAATTCCACCACTCACTGCTTGCATCTTCTTGACGCGTTTCCAGGAGGGTGTTGTCTATTTGGACTGGGTGTGGCCGATATGATTGTAGACCACGTTCAATGTATTCACACCTGACTCCATTCCAACATTCTGGAACAGGTTCGGGCTTTCACGTAAAAAGTATATAGAAGAATCAAGGAGCGGCCAGAATTCTAAAGCTTAATGGAACTCTGTTGACCTGAACATTCTGGCACAGTCGTGCACTGAAATCGATTTGGAGACTGAACTTTTTCTCTAAATAGAGCTGAGGTTAGATAGTTTCCTTTCTTTGCCACAGCTAGACCACGCTGCTTGGGTTGACCTCCTTTCTTGACTCTAACTTCCTGTTGGTCTACTCTCCGCTACGCTACGTTGTATCTTACTTTATCCCAGTAGATTCTGCGACGTTCTGCTCTTCTTTCTTCGGCTCTCCTTCATTCATGTTCTTTGGATAACCGGTTCACGCTGTTTGACTACAGTATGGTAGACAAGTGAGGAATCTCAACTTTGTCATGTTCCATTTTGTTGCACTTTTGTGTTTCCAGTCACCTTCAGTTCCACCTGTTCGTGGGGGGGTTACTTCATACACATATTACTGCTGACTTTAGACCTTCATTTCATGCTACACACTTGGAATTGTTTTGTCATTTAACTTGATACATATTCTAAACAACAATTGTCTACGGTACTCTGTTCTACCCCTGGATGTTACCTGATTCTGACTCCTGACCTCACCGTACCTTTCCACGTTTTTCCACGTTACAATGTTCCACTCTCTCCTGCGCTACCTCAAGTCTTGTCTCACTTAACCAGGTGTGATTCCGGCCCACTTCCTAATCTTCTGTATAGTCAGTATGTTTACCGCAAGGTGTTAAAGCTGTGACAGAATTGGCTTAAATCGAGGCAGGTAACAAGTAGAGTAGGATAGTGGGATAGGCTGGACTTGTCTCCTTGACTGTAAAGTGGAGAAGTTTCTGTTGTGGCTTGTGAGCACAGAGCATACTTTGCTGTGTTGTACCTTGATGTGCTCCTCCATTTTATGCTGCCCATTGTCAGCTTGCTTGTTTGTGTTCATGCTCCACTCCTTTCTGCTCGCCTCAACCGAAACTTGCCTTCACTGCTCTCTAGTCTATACGCTGAAGGAACGAAGAACATTGAGCAGAACGTAGGAAGATGGAATGGGTGGGGCTGAGTACAGCAGGACCAAACCAAAGTAGGGTAGCGGGGAGGCCGAACAGGATTGAAATGGCACCTGGCACTGATGCGTAGTTGGTTTTGGAGCAGAATGAAAGGTAGCTTTCCCGACTGAAGTAGTGAAGAAAGAGTGGGAGACAAAGTTACATGGTGGAAGGAGCAGAAAGGGCTGTCTATGTAAGAATGCAAGCTAACCTTGTGTTAGACAGACGCTGAGTTGAAAGCAGCGCATCGAATGAGCACCTCCTTTACCCTGCGAAGTGAAAGGGCGAGAATTGAAAAATGGAAGGAGCCGCAGCACAACGGTTATATAACGTAATATGGAGAGGCAACTAGATGTGAAAACAATTCAACATTGACACGCGCTACTGACTTTCAACCAAGTGATTGGGGTACAGCGGTTATAAACAGCTGCCATACACAATTGAATATATAAACTGGTCTGATGGTGGATCCAAATATGGTTGTGTCCTTGCGGTTTCCTGATGTTTTTGTATGTACAGTCTCACCTCGTGCTTTTCTTGGGATTCAATTTTGGTCTATTTAGGTTTGTTTACGCCGGGTGTATAATAACACCGACTGCAATGTTGTTGTCTTTTCATGTCTTTCCTACATGTCCTGTAGTGTACAGGTGCAAAACTCTGCCAAAGGCCCCAAAGATCCCCAAAGGCACATACGACACATAGGGCGTAGAATTGATGCCTCAATGATTGGTTCCAAACAGCTTGTTCAAGCTACCCGCGTGGCAAACTCAAGGTAGCCGCCCTTACCAGGCTACCTTTCTTGAAAATCCAGTCCTCCAAGCGTAGATCAGAAATGGAACCAACTTCCACAAGCTGCCTAAGGTGGACCTGAGTGACACTGAGCTCTTGACACATCAAGCACACCTTCAACCCAGGATTACGAAAGCCCAAGGCAATTGTTTTCCAGGCCTCGATTTTGTCTGCGGTCGATTTCTCCAGCAACAGGTTTGCCTCACAGCAGTTGCCGTGGAAGTCAACACCACTCAAGAGCTTTGAAAGCTTCAAGGAGCGCACGTCCAGGAAGTTTGGTGCATTGAGAATCTCAAACGGCACACGGATCAGGCCAGCACCACCCTCAGCACTGTTGTGGTGGTTTTTGATGGACACAAAAAGTTTCGCAATAACCAACCAACTTGAGGCTGGGTGTGAGAACGACATCTGGCTGCGGAGTTTGTACGTTGAGCAAAGCTCGACTGAGTTACATAAGGTGAGCTCATCCGAGAGGAGATAAGCTTTGTAGCTTAAAAATAACAAATGAGATGGTTTGAGGCCAGTGAATGGAAAAAGACATGATGACGGGAACAAAGTTGAGGATTGATGAAGGTATGTTCTCTCAAATCATGCGTACAATGTGCATTTGCCAGATTCTCGACACCCAACTGCTTACAGCAGAACTGAAGCTCGAGGTGACTTCTACACAATGGAGTGACACGGTTCACACATCCCTCCAACAAGCCAAGATTAAGCCAAGTCTGTATAGATCGTGTAAGTTTTGGCAAAACAAGAAAAAGATGACACTGAAGGCGATGTGGAGCACTTTTGACTCTCTTGGGGCGTGACGTGGACTTGGAGCCTGGCTTGGTGTAAGCGATTGCATACACCCAAGAGTACAACATTTGCAGGGTCAGATCCAACCAAACAAAAGAGATCAAAATGTGTACAGTAGATCGAAAGAATGCGGGCAGCCGGAAACAAACCCTCTCATGTAATTAATTACAGTATTTATGTTCCGCAAAATGATGCAAATGAGAGTTCTACCACTGTATGCGGTCAGGAGGCTCTAGCCTTGAAAGGAGAGCGCTAATTAAATGAGAACCCCCTCAACTTGCTACATTCTTGCCTTTTCCCACCCAGCCTGCGAAAATTGCCATCTGCCTGCGAAACAAAACTAAAGCACAAATCGGGTTCATCATGGGATGTGGATCCATATTCATTAAGATATGGTCTTAAAGCGCTGCATCATTGTCTCACCATGTTTCACCTGCTCAGCTTCGGTGGAGAAGTTAGCGCTGTGCTACAAAGGGAACTATTGCCATGAAACTACTTCCAGCTAGGACAAATTCCGTCCTTGCATGTGCTTGCAGCCGAGGCTATCGTCTCGAAGCTTTGCACACGTCCACTTGCTGTACTCCAGATTGGATGCGTGTACATTATGGAAAGGTGGAGGTGGAGACGCAGTGCCTTCCTTAGTTTACCAGAGCTACTGTGCCTCTCCCACCTGGACGGCCTACTCCTTCAAGAAAAGGAATGTTGTTTGTTGGATTGTTTCCTCTTCAGAGCTGCAATGAAATTGTTTGTGTGTGTGTGTTGTAGTAGATACTCAAATGATGCGACCAGCCCATAACATCGTGGGATTCTCCCTGAACCTGCAGCATGGCCTCCAATTTCAATTGAGCCCTCGATGTGAACCTCGCCCTGTACCTTTGGTCTTTCATCTTGTCCGGCGCGTTACACGTCACACATGTGGATTCAAACCCTCAGCGACCTGAATTTGTTCTTTGTTTTTACTCGTACTACGGCGTTACTACGGGCTGTCATGCAGAAAAACCTGGTCCTTACTCCCCTCCTCGCCCTCTCCTGACAATACCAACTTGGATTACCTCTTTGCACTTGTCCTGTTCAGCAGCCGTGCTTTTCACTTGAGACACTTACTCATCGCGCCGCCAAAAATTTGTGCCCAGGCTCTTTGTCTCCCTTGTCTCTATTTTCTCATGCAGATTCCCTTCCCGCGACGATTGCCATCATTGCCACCATCAGCAGTACATTTCAGGCTTGGCGTCCTTGATGACTTTCCTTGCCCATCTTGTCTTCCTAGATTCGGATTCGTTGGGGGCATATGTTTGGCAACCTTGGAGTCATAGGTTTGCACTTGCGACATATTTGAAGCCTTTGTAGACTTCTGCAAGGACTGTTAGCAAGGTTACAATCTGAATTGGTTGTCCACAAAACGTGCTGCATTCCATGGCTAGTATGATCCCTGGGCTCTCCTGGCCCAGTTGTGAAGTTTTTAAACAGTGTGATGTTGTCTTTCTGTTGACTGGAGGATGAACCAGGTAGATGCACGTTAGCAAACATGCTCTTCGACCATTGAGTTCGGGAAACGGATGTTGAAGTTTACTCCAAAGCCGCACTGCGTATATCTACTGTATATTGCGAACCACTTTCCATGCGGTCTGACTGTATAGCATAATTTGCATCACGTCAAGTTACTTTCAACTGACTTCAGCCCCTTTCAATATCAAGAGAAAGGTGCGTATGGTAGCGGGGCTGAGAAGGAGGTAACCCCTCTGGAGCTCTGATTGAAAAACCCCTAGGTCACTGGGATCCTGGGTGCGATTGTGAGCCTTTGGAACCCAAAAAGCTGGAGTGGTGAAGAACTGCTTTTGGCAACACTCTGTACCCAGTACATTGTGTCAAAGAGACATTAGTACAAGGAGATCAGAGAAATTCTTCAGACTGTAGCACAGAGCACGCTGGCAACAACATCAGCCAGCATCTGAGGCAGTGAAGAAAGCAGTTGAAGACGAGAGGTCATCAACCAGATTAGTCAAAATTGATAGCAAAGCCCAACATCTTTGACTACAAGTCACAGGATGAAGAGACCAAGGCATTTAGAGAGTGGTCATGGGTCTTTGAGAGAAGTACTTGAGCGCAGTTGATGAAGGCTACATGCAGGACTTGAAGGAAATTCATGAAAAGCCACATGACAAATTTGACATCGACTTGGCAACTGAGGCAGCGAAGACTAGATGCATCAAGCAATATGGATTGTTAGTTTCATCGATGAGAGGAAGGGCACTGCAATTGGTGAAAGCTGTAGAATACTCTATTGGATTTGGTGCCTGGGGGAGTTTGAATAAAGCTTTGGAACCAACTTCAAAGGCAAGAGGCTTGGCACTCTTGGGAGCAGCCACTACATGGCCAGCATTTTCAATGAATAGCGCGCTACAACCTCAACTCTTGAAGCTTGAAGAGGTATTTGATGAGACTGTCAAGGCAGGGACTGCAATTGAGGAAGAGTTGAAATCTGCTATTCTTTTTGAGATGTGTGGGTGGACAACTCAAGTCCTATTTGAACTCGGCAATTGGCGACGATGTTCAATACCCAACTTTGAGGGCACATGTGTTGCAACGGGGTGGACATCAACAGAAGTGGGCTACTTCCATGGTGGCTAGTAGCAGTACAGAATATCAAGGACCTATGCCAATGGCCGTCGATCGAATCCAAAAAAGGCAAGAGGGCAAGAATGACCGTCAGAAAGGAAAAGGTAAAGATGCCAAGAGCAAAGGAAAGAGAGGAAAAGGATATCAGAAAGGAAAAGAAGGTGATCATAAGTGTGAGGGCAAAGGCAAAGACCAGAAATGCAAAGGCGTGGCAGCGTGTTACACTGGTGGAAAGCGAGGACATCTTGCTAAAGACTGTTGGAGAAACTATATTCGACAGGTAGCAAGTGATCAGACCAGTTCATCTTCAGGAGGAGCATCAGTGACAACTCAACATGCTAGTGTGAGCCAACAAGGGAGCTCAGCAGAGACCAAACCAGCGGTCAGGAGAACTGTGAACAGTGAGCCAACCATCTTTGACTTGAGACAAGGAGATGATGAGCTGGAAGATCAAGGAGTGCGAGTATTTCACTTCTACATTGGAGTTGATGATGATGATGATGATGATAAGGGCCATGAGCGGCTCAACCCCCATCATTCGCCCACGTTGCCGCGGGGGAAGTGCGGAAACGTCCTTCTGCTCATGGGCAGCCCTAAGTTCACCGCGGCGCTGGTCGTCGCTCTCGATTACCGGTCCTATGATCACCATCAACCAGGACCCCGAGAACCAGATCTCTACAGGTTCTACCTCTTGTTCCTCGAGGCCGTGGCTGCCATTCTCTTCTGGCTCCACCGGAAGAACCACCTTTACACGAAGAGCTCCTCAAGCACCTGGCAACGATCAAGCTCATTGAGCTCGCGGACACACGTGGCAGCCTTAAAAGGACGCTCACCGGGGTCCCAAGTCCACGGCCAGGGTTGTTGGTTCCGTGCGTTGCAGGACTCTTCATGGCCTACTACGAGAACAACACGAGCACATGGAATTGTTTGACTCCACCCGGGTGGCCCGACAGTTCTGGGTCTGCCACGAGACCCAGTGGAGCCGACACTTCACAGGCTCTTCAAGCCCTTTTCAAGGCGAAGCCGAGTGGCCCAGCACCTCATCTGGACGGGACACAGCCTCATTCTAAGGAGACATTCTCTCTACATGCACATCAATGGGCAAATTTCCATGGACCATGCTGGGGCAGATGCCAATCTATCTCAACCGCCATCCACATCCATGACACGCCTGTTTACATGGCTACTTCATTGGAGGCCTACCTAGCTCAGCGGGACACCATGACCGATCGACCCCATGCGGACCATGGCATCTCCTACCACCTGAGCTTAAATGCTGTCAGTGGACACTACTGCACTGCCATCCAAGATGGAGGCACTTGGCGGGTCTCGGAGGACGACCTGGTCACCGTGGAGGACATTTTCCTGCCATGGATTGCACTTGAGGAGGCCGAGGCTGGCCCCTTCAAGGTCTCCAACTCCATGGTAACTGGACTGGCATTGGCTGCCTGGGCTTGATCCTCTTGACACCAACAGCCTGGTGGACACCTTCACCTCGTGCTACAGACTGGTAGTCTTCTCATCATGCGAGGCAGCTGATCCTGGAAGCCTCAATCAATGGTTTGGGAAATTGCCGGACTCCTGGCGGAGCAGGGTGCTTTGAGCTCCACTCCAACTCCACCGGAGCCGGACAGGCCTTCTGCTCTGCAGCCTGGTTACCATACCTTCTGGACAACAAGATGGAGGTTGACCACATAACCATACTTGTCACCGGCGTCTTCTTCCATTTTTGGACGGGGGGACCTATGGGTTCCACTGCACAGCCCCCCCCGGATGGTGGCACCTGCTGGGCCTATGACGGTGACTATGGGAAGGTCAAGTTTTCGCCGCTGCCACTGGTGGTTCTTGGGGACGGCTGTCTGTTGGGGATGAGCCAGGCTGGTGAAGAAATGCATCATGAATGGCAGGGGGCGTGGATCATAGTTTTTCACCCTCCGGTGGGAACACTTCATCGTGGGTCGAAGCTGGCCCCTTGGCGGAACATGTGCAGTGAGCTTCATCTCATGTGCACACCCCCTCGGTGGTGTGCCTGCCTGCTGTTAGGCAGCACTTGCCTCTATGAGGACAGTGCTGTTGTGCTTGAGAAAATTTTCTTTTTGCATTTGGTGATGTGGTCACCATAGGTGGAAGGGCTTTCACCCTGCTCGCCAGTTGACCGCACTATCAACTGTAGAGGCCAAAGGCCCTTCAGGGCGCCAGGTGGGACCAAACGGGTCCACGCAATCATCGACTGATGAGCGTATGAAAGAAAAAAGATGATGATGATGATGATGATGATGATGATGATGATGATGATGATGA